GGGGGTGACAGAAAACAAATCAGAACAAGATCTACTGTTGTTCCAACCAGCACAACTACTAAACATATTGGCAGTAGAGAAGCTGCTTCACTTGTTCTATTGGAATAAAAAGGCAAAAGTGAAATGTATTATAGAAAATACTTATGTGAGCAAATTGTTTTCGTAAGACACTCGTCCAAATGCTGTGACAAATGCCATGTGATTGTATGACGTAGCTAGCTTGGCCTGGCTTGGCTGTTGTTAGAGCGCCCCCTTCTGTTAACGCTCAGAATGCAGCTCAATTTTGAAACTAATTTTGAATTTTCAAACTGAGATATATATTTCAAAAAGAAACAACAGAAATTGTGAAGATTATCTAGCCTCCATATGCCTGTGTGCGTGTATGCGAAGTGAAGTGCACTATGATTTCTAATTCAAGTTGACTGAATTATCAAGTCAGATGTGAATTATCAAAACACAATGGAAACATTTTTCATTGTCATTCATTTTAAACAATATATGCCTGATTGTCTGCCCCTTTTAATTGTATTACTCCACCATATTCTATAATCTATCATCCTCCAGCTCCCCACCATTTCCAAATTGCATTCACTCTCTGCATTACTCTGAAAATCCTGGCAGCATTCCAGATGGTCTCCTCTCTCTGGCTCATATGGTGTCCCCTGTGTCTTAGTCTGGTGGATGGACTTGCTTAGCAGAGACTCTCTCTCTCTCTTTTCTTCTCTTTCTTTTCAGACTGAAATACTGAGAGAAATCTCACAATGGGGCTTTGTCCCTCAAAAACACTGAAGTCATAGTTTCCCAGGCTCCTGCCCCCTGAGACGCCTAGCAATGAGTCGGAGAGAGGAGGGGCACAAGACTTGGCAATGGTTTGCCATAAGCAATGGACAGGATACATTCTTGTGCCTGCAATAGAACTTTCACTGCCTTAATAAAGCTCAAAGCTCAGGCCAATTCATATAAGTTCAAGCCAAATGCTGGATCTGGGCCTCGACTCAGAAAAGCACTCTCAATATAGAGCAAATGAAAACCATCTTTGGATGATCTATCTCAACTTTCAAGAACAGAAATACTACAAACCTCCTTCACTGCAAACCTGCAAACCTCTTTCACTGCAAATCTATTCGTTTTTTCCTAATAAACAATATAACAAATCATCGTTTTGAGACATAATTAATTGACTGGATTCTCAGTTTTCAGCTGTCAAGGCTTCAAGAGGGTGCCTTTAAACAGGAGACAGAAGGACCACTCCCACTGAGTGATATTTCTGAGAAGAAGCCCATTTCTGAGTTATGCATTCTTCAGGCCTGTCATCTTCATTTATGTAGACTGCAGGTCAGTTCATGCCCGAGAAACTTGTCTTTTTTTCTCTTTTATTCTTTTTTTCAGAGCATCTGCTGAAGAGTCGAACATTGACTGCGTCAGGAGCTATTCCACTGTGATAAATGCTGCTGCACAGAGACAAGCGCAGTATGGGGGAGGCGCACAGACAGTAGCTCCAGTGGCCAGTGTAGTGGGAATGGACTGGATTATGTAATAACAGAAGGTCCACCTAAAGCTAAAGGCTTTGGAGAACCCCTCTGGGTCTTCTAGTGTGAAGCCTGTAGTAAAAACACTGCTGGGAGAGGTTCAGCATCTTGAACTGAAGCTCCAGGCAGTATGCAAAGGAGCCTTACTTCACATTCATACCCGTTATCTTTCAGAGGAGGGAGCCATATGTGGGGATTTGATGGTGGTGCTCTGTGTGTGTGTGTTTGTGAGAGGGTGGTGGGGGTGGTGGGAGTGGTGTAAGGTTAGACTTTATGGGAGTGTGTTTTCATCATTAGTGTTAAATTTCAGGAAGCGTTTAACGAATACTACTCAAAGCCAATGGAAAGTGAGGAATGCATGAAATAAAATACGCTATCCGTGGGCTGAGAAGAAAAAATGCAGGTAAAAATGGTAAAAAATTATACAAGGCTTACTGTATTTGTCTGTTTAGCCATTTGGAAAAGAGACATTCTGTAGTTAATTTGAAGACTGCTTAGCAAATGACTAATTATACTGGACCACAGAAACTGCAATATATATATAAATGTGTTGTCAACAAATAATAAAAATGTTGATGAAATATTTTGGAATATCATATCATAAAAACAAGTATCTCCAAAATATTAACTTCACAGAAGAAGGCTAAATCACTTAACTTTCAATGTAAGTTAATGTAAAGAGAGTTTATTCGAAGTGATTTTAGAGCATTTTAGTTACGTTCATCATGAAATTTTCATACAATGTAAAAGACAGCGTGTGTGTTGAAATGATGCAGAAAAATAAAATCGACAAAAATAGAGAGACATGTTTTTTTCTGGAGAGTGATGATATATAGTACTATTCAAAAAATCAGAGACTACTTTTCATTTATTTAATTTCTAGTCAAAATGACCATTACATTATTCATTTTTCAGCATCAGGAAAAAAAAGACCAGAAATATATATTTAACACAAAATAACACAGAAGTCTCAACAACTAAATATAATATCAAATGTTTTCATATCTAGTGTATTCACTCGTTCTCTTTAATACAGCTTCCATTCTTTTAGGAAGACTTGGCTTCAGGTTTTCAAAAAATTTCAGGAGGGATATTTTTCCACACTTCCAAAGGTCAGTTTTAAAAGTTAGTTGTATTTTCTCCTTTCAGACTCATAGTGTTGAGTTGTCCTCTCACAGCTGAAGGATGGACAGAAACATCTGTGTACCTAGGTACCCAATGACCTTTTTGAGTAGAAAATAAATAAATGAAGGGTGGTGTCTGACTTTTATACAGTTCTGAATAAATATATGTCATTTTATATGGGCAGTGGAATCTGTTTATTTAAGAATTCCTGGTTTGAATTGCAATGAGATTCATATATGGCCAACTTTTACCTTTACCTGCTACACTGACTTTGTATGTAATTGACAACTTAGTCATTTGCAACCATTAAAATCTCTGTCATGAATGCAGTTAATAGTTATTCTCTGCATCACCTTCACTTACATTTGTGGGCTTGCAGTGTCAGTTGGCTCATGGTCCATTTCACTAAGAGCTTTTCTGCCACACGGCCGGATCACCGATCGGGTGGTGTGGTGACAGATTTCAGAGCTGCGATGCTCCTCTCTTAGACCTTAGCCTTAAACAGCTCACTGACAGGAGCTGTCAGCAAGGACACAATTTCAGGGCTTGCTCTGCCCCACTTTGAAAACTTTGCTTTGACATCCAGTAGATGGGCCTGCCTGTATGACACTGCACTGGCAGGCCTCGTTTCACCTCCCAAGCAGCAAACTGATGTGTGGCACAGCGAAGTGCCAAACGAGAATATGAGCTAAAGCATTTGTGTTGCTTGACTGGGTACACTGTCCATTCTACAAAACCTTGTTTAATTGGCCAGGCATGATGTTTAACCTCAAAACTGCTTTAGTTTTTATATTGTATAAGTGATATGCTGCACATAACAAAGCCATTTTGCATTTTGTACTATGGAGTAGTCAAATTATGATGATGACAATCTTTAAGGAGAATTTCACAGATTTATCAAAATTTCAGCTAAAATAAATTGTTGAGATGTAAACAAATTCAGTCAGGGTGTTTTGAAATAAAATGGTGGATTGCAGACAAACTTACCAGCTTAAATTGTCTGTGGTGGTGATAGGAACCAGGGGTCATGATGTGAGCTGCACAAATGTAGCCATTTGATTTACTGTCCAAAATGACCAGTGAACCTACACGTCTTCTGAGTTTTTAGATGTAATATTGATAATGGTAAAATAGTGAAAAATCTGAAAAATAAGTTTTATTTGGGAACAATTTTGTCTTACAACATTTTGCATGTATCCTCCCACCATGAATGTGATTAGGGCAATTTTTTTCAAAAATATTGTAAAACAACACCTCAGGTATCAAGCAATGTATTCGTAATACTTTTATGTTATAGTTGTCAGTGATTTAGCTTTTTTAAAGGTGCAGTGTGTACGATTTAGGGGCAGAAATGGAATATAGTATACAAAAATATGTTTCTTTAGTGTAAAATGACCTGTAACTACAAATTGTTGTGTTTTTGTTAGAATGTACCCGTCATATCTACGAGTGGGTCCTCTTTCAACAGAGGCTGCCATGTTGCACCACCATGTTTCCACAGTAGCCCAGAATGGACAAACCAAACACTGGCAGCTTGAATTTAATAAAGCTGTAGCACCAGTTGGAAGATGTAGAAAGAAGAAGCAGTGTTGGCTAACCATTTTGTGTTGTGAGAAGTTTGAGAACCCAATTTTTAACAAATAGAGGCTCATGCTTATTATTTAGCACAAGAAAAAGCAAAGGAGGGTGAATCCTCGTCATCAAAAAAGCGAAAACATGATGACCACGGCAGGCTCTACTACACGCTTGGAAAGGGAGGGGTGAGGGAGGGGTATTCCGTTGGTTGAATCTGCAACCTCATTGCTAGATGCCACAAAATCTTACACACTGCACTTTTAAAGGCTGTGCCTGCTTCCAGTCTCTACCATTGTAAACATTTCTGATTGGGCAGGTTTCCCTAGAATGGGGCACTGCACAAACATTCTGAATGATTGTTTACATCTTAATGAATTAATTCTACAAAAATGTTGAAAGATTTGTGGAATTTCTGTTTAAGTTAAGGCCCCACTGAGAAAAGTTGTAGAGAGCTACTTTGGATTTAGCTGGAGGCTGCATGAGACTGTTAGAGGCGTGGGCCTATAATTAAGATTTTCTATTGCATAGTATTGTGTCCATTGTGTCCACGTAGAAATAAAACCTAGCAAAGCAATCAGCTAAAATAAAACTCTACAGTCACAACAATTATTCCAAATAATACCAAAAACTCGGACTGCGTTTTGATGCTGGTATGATCAGACTTTTCAGTCACTGTCACAATGTAAAGAAAAATAAGTGGAAACAAACAGGCTGGTCGAAAGCCCATTGGCTGCCTTTCAGAAAACGAACTGTTGACGTGGCCAATGAGAGAGGAAGAAGCGCCAGAATGGCGCTGATTGGCTCGGATGAGGGCGGGAACTCTGCAGTGGGCGGGGCTTGAGGCGACGCTGCTCGGTGCAACTCCATTCTTCGTTTTTTCAGTGCTGAGATTTTGGAGCAGCGGAGCTGATTCGTGCGCACCGGGGCTCTGAAATGCGCTGTAAACTCTCCAGCCATGGCCACAGTGATACTTTAAACGGCATGGGCGCACGCACGAAGTGCTACCACCCACACAGCAAACTCGTCGTTTTATGAATAGAGGAATTCGCTTTTCTTCAGCCACTTTGCATGGCAAGGAGGAGCCCCCCGTGTGCAGCAGCAGCAGCAGCGTAGCGAGGGACTAGCTAGGGCTGAGAGAGAGAGAGAGAGAGAGAGACAGAGAGAGAGAGCGCAGGCAGGTGTGTGAGGTGACTTGGTGGTCTCCTGGGTTGAGGAAAGCATTAGAGACACTGCTCGATGCAACAGCGGGGACATTGTGTTCTTTTACAAAACTGGTGAAAATAAGACAAGAAGAAAAGACAAGACAAGACAAAAAAGAAAACACCAACCCGCTGCGAGCTGTGCCACAGGAGCTCTCGCGCGAGGCTCCGCGACATCTCACTGGATTTCTACTTCGTTAATAAGTAGTTGCCTCAGGAAAAATGTCGTCTCAGACGAAATTTAAGAAGGACAAGGAGATCATTGGAGAATATGAAACGCAAGTTAAAGGTATGTGGCCGCCGGGCTGTCATGACACGTTCATAAATCTGAAGTTTGGTGAGGCGTCGCGCCCACACGGTGCTGATTAGCTACGTTTTCAGTCTCATGCAACAAACATCATCACTATATTGAGCTACAGACGTGTTGATCACCGGCACATCACAGTTCACCATGTAAAGGTCTTCAGTACCTACAGAGACATAATGGTAGATTAAATGCAGCCAGGATTAGCATCGCTTAGCCTTGATGTGGTGGTCTCTGCATTAAACCCACAGTGGGTACCGCCTCACCTCTCCCTGCCAATGACCCCCCCCCCCCACACACACACCCCAGTCAGCAGTCAAAAGGGTCAAAAGGACCACATTTTATTTGTTCCAGCTTTTCAGCTGAGTAAGATATGAACCACTGTTGTTGTGCAATGCAATCAGTCTGCATACTCACATTAGAGGCGTAAATAGAGGAACCCAAGTTTGTTATCATGGGGGAATCGAGTGAAGCTTATGCAAGGGCAGGGAAACGTTACACAGGCTCGCTGCCCCGAGCGCTACGTCTGCACGGCTACTTTAGAGTTCATGTTTTTTGTTGTAAATGTGCGCCCATACTGACCTGAAGGCTCCAGCTCGCTTTGTTGCTGGGTAGAACGGAGTCCAGTGCCGTGATCCTCACACAGAGGGGTGGAACTTGAAGGCGACCAGCGCGGCTAATTCTTCCCTTTGTGCACGTTTTAAAGGACCTCTGCGAGATCAGATGTCTGGCACCGCCTGTTAGTGAACGGTGGAAGAGGCTATTTGGGAGGGGGGTCGGTTCACACGGAATCTAACTGGACCCCATCGATATTTTTCACAAACTCTCCCAGTATACCACGCTCCTAAAAAAGGACGGTTCTTCAGGGGTTCTCTAGTAAAGGCAATGATTCTATTTAGAACCATTTGGTCTGTATAGAACCATTTGCATGCTTAAATGGTCCTTTGCATGGTGAAATGATTCTTCAGATTGATGAAGGACGTGTTATATATGGTTCTGTATGGAACCTTTTTGAAAATGGTGCTATATCGCACCCAAAGGGTTCTTCTGTTGTCACAGTGTCAGGCTTGTAGCAATAGCAGAACCCTTTTTGGTAATACACAGGACCATTTTCAAAAAGGTTCCATGTAGAACAATATACAACACATTCTCTGTCAAACTGAAGAACTATGTCACCATGTAATGAACCGTTTAAGCATGCAGATGGTTCTGTATAGAACCATATACATCACATTCTCCATCAATCTGAAGAACCATTTAATGCAAATAAACCATGTAAGCATGCAAATGGTTCTATATAGAACTCATGGTTCTACATAGAACAATATACAGCACATTCTCTGTTACTCTGAAGAGCCATTTCACCATCCATTTAAGCATGTAAATGGTTCTGTTATAGAAATTATGGTTTTAAATAGACCCATTCCCTTTACTAAAGAACCCTTGAAGAACCGGTATTTTTAAGAGTGGAAGCATATATTGAGTGCAGATGTTCAGACAGTATAATTGTGAGAAATATGATGTCCGGCATGGCCGTCAGAACAAAATGTTCCTTCATAAACTGCAGCAATTAAACCGATTATCAGGTGATTTCATTCACACAGTGCAGTACTGTGATATTTTAATTAAAAAAGGTTGGGTGTCTGCAGACATTGGAAGACAGCGTTGATACGCAGAGCTGTGACATAGCTGAGGGGTGGATTAGTGACCACTGGCTTGTGGGTGTTTTTGTCAATTAGGTCCATGGAGCTCTTCAACATAGGCTGTTCTTCCAGCTTATTGGAGTTTCTGAAAATCGTTCACATCACTGTCAAGGAGCAATCTGGATAGGGCTCGGTGATGTGAGAAAAACACCATGACAGTTGTAAACATTTTCATGATGCGCAGTATGCATAATGAAATTTGTTTTTTCTGAGGTTGGATAAGTTGGATAAGTAAATCCAATTAAACAGGACTAATTTTGTTACTAATCTCTGTTTTCCCAATAAACTAAGCTGCCCTTCTGCAGCTCTCAGCTATACAATAAGAGCATGGTAAAATATATATTGTGTGTCCTAGTGAGTGTACTGTTGTCATTCAAAACCCCTCTGCTTAATATTCTACTAAAACCGTGCCCACCCATTGCAGTGAGGCTCTAAATTTTATGAATGAACTGAAGCAACGTATTCAGGCAGAGCTGACCACGCTAAGGCCCACTGTGTAACACATCAGCTTCATAAATGTTTTGCAGATTGTCTGATGTCTGATTGGATTCTTGCTTGAGTAGCATGTGCTAAAAGGCTCACTTTTCCCTTGGGACTGGCAGAGGCTGCATGCTTGACGTGACTTAAAGCTCAAACTGGCCCATCTCTCATTTAGGATAAGCGTCCCTGATATAATAGTACCCTGATGTATCCTTTTAATAGAATAAACAAATTATGTTAACATGTCACCCAAAGGAAGTATTATAAAAGTACTGCAGTGGTCATTGTGTATTTGTGTGTGGACTGTATTTTCTTTTATGTCTCCATTCAGTGTATGTGTCAGGTACTCAAGTGTAATGGCCTGTAATGGCGATACATTAAAACAGACAGTAATTGTTGTTGTTAGTGGGGAAGTAGCTTAGGCAGCAATAAACTGTGAATGCTGAAAAAGAGGCTGCTTTGGCCTGGTGGAGCCCCATGACGCCTGTACTTTGGCTGGGGTTCAGTGAGGTGGTCGAGCCACTTTGAAGTTTCTAATCCACATAACCGGTCTGACACGGGCCACAGACTTTAAATCAGCGTTCCATAGCTGTTTAGAGCACAGAGGCAGATCAAGTAGTCCCTGCTGCACAGCCCTAGGAATGCAGCTACATATATGAACATAATACTTCCTGTATGTAAAACGTTTACACGATGTAGATCTCTACTTTGCGACCGGTTCCTTGTTGAGATTAATATTCAAAGATATTCACAGAATTTGTCAGAGTGTCTTAACTTGTTGCCATACGTGTTAATCTGATAAGAGCTCATATCCGGTAGTCTGTCTTCACCTTGAGCAGAGTGTTTCAGCAATAATAACATTCAACAAAGATAAAATAAATATAATAGTAGCAAATTTTGTCATCCGATAATTTTGAGATAGTCCATAGCATTGGAGCGGATGTGTGAGCAAACGCCGTGACCGCCTGTGAGTTTGTCTTGAAATGAAAGAAACTTTTTGTAAGGGCATGATATCTGCCTGCCTCTCTGAACATGTAAACAACCACCTTTCTACAACAATCCTATCCATGTTAGGCACTATAAATGTGAGATTAATGTCGATTCACCCACCATGTTTAAAAGTCCAGTTGTGTTCATGTGAGGGGGTACTAATGCCTTCTTATGGTTTGTATGACATAGGGCTGGGCGATAAAATGATAACGATAATTATTGCGATATAACTTTTCCTCGATAGAGCGATATGACATGTTCAATAAATGTTCGATATAATACACCATTCTCACACTTCCACGTTCAGCGAAAGCTTTGGTGGCGTTTTCTACTGAAAGGAAAGCGACACTACTCTGATTCCGGCTTCTTCTACATGGTTAGAGAGGGAGGGAGCCACGAGTAAGATGAGTCTTTAGCAACGGCTGAAACGCGGAGTTATACATTCCCTGTTTGAGTGGGGCGACCGGCGATCTGTTCTCCTGTGACCGAGTGTGAGTGACGAGGTCAGTGGTGTAACTGTACTGTCCTACAGCGAGCTCACCTCTTTCCATACATCCTAACAAGCTTTAGCAGCATTAAATCACAATCACAATCCTCACAACTACAGTGCTGTCACAGCACTCAGACAGTCATATTTAAGTATTAGTGCATTCCCAAGCAACGAAAGTGAAAGAAAGAAGTTGGTTCATGTAAATTACAGCCCTGATTTAAACGAAAGTAAACTGAGGAAGCTGTGATGCATTGGAGAGTGGGAGAGCACTAGCTTTCCAGGCTAGCTGTTTTTAGCAGCTGGCTAACTTGAAGCAGCGCTCCGTCACTCACACAACATGGAGAACTGATGATACTGTAGATCAAACACGACACAAAAGCACCGCTTTCAGTTTAAACGTACCTAAAAGGAGGACTCTGTTTGTCTGGCGTTGATATTTTGCAGTTCACCCCTTAAACTACTACGATAGTATAGAGAAATCCAGTTGTCGCTAGCTGGTGTCTGAACACTGTGATGTCATTTGTAGCGGGGTAGCCGAGCGCTCGTCACCAGCTAAAAATAATCTGTTTTCTTTCTTAAATTATGACTATTACAAAATAGCCATGCTTTTCCAGCTGGTAAAAACAGCGCACCAGACACTTTCTCCCACTCTCCCATGACAGATTTGTGAAATGTTCCACTGTTTGCCGAGTGTTTGTCGTGTTCCGACCATAAAGGGTAGTTTAAAACAGCAATTAACCACCCAGGAGCAAAAATAAGCCTTCAAACTTGAAAGAAATAATGATTTGACATTTATCGCGGTATGTATCGATATCGAACGATATGAAGTTTGTTTATCGTAATAACATTTTTGGCCATATCGCCCAGCTCTAGTATGAAATAAATCAATCCATTGAGCTGTGGAATAAATTACATTTTTGGGGGAGGACCATGTCTGAAACCCCCCTTTTTCCAGTGTAACACCCTATAAATTCCCAGCTCTACCTTCAATTTCCCATGATGAAGTTTTCACAGTCCCCACCATCTCCTTCCTGCTTCTACCACAGTTTAAAAGGGGACAGGAGGCGTGCAGCCTCCTACCTCCAAGCAGAAAGCGCCCAGAATCCAGCCCAAAAAGTTCTCTCCTTTGTTTTTCCCTTAAACCATCACAAAATATGCCAAAGGCGTGTTTCGAACAATGAATGTTGGCCTACTTACCATCACTTGGCGTGTTACTAAGGTAACTCGGTTAACCGACAGCTGAGCACAGGCCTACTTTCGAATGTCTTTCTTGACTTCAACAAAAAATCAACTTGTGTGCTTCAGACAGGAGGCTCAGTCTC